AGAAAGTATTCCCATTGGTTGGATGTCTCCGCTCTTCATACAGCACATCCAGAAAGTATTCCCATTGGTTGGATGTCTCCGCTCTTTATACAGCACATCCAAAGTATTCCCATTGGTTGGATGTCTCGCTCTTCATACAGCACATCCAGAATGTATAATTGGTTGGTGTCTTCGCGCTCTTCATACAGCACATCCAGAATGTATTTCCCATTGGTTGGATGTCTCCGCTCTTCATACAGCACATCCAGAAAGTATTCCCATTGGTTGGATGTGTCCGCTCTTCATACAGCACATCCAGAATGTTATACTCATTGGTTGGATGTCTTCGCTCTTCATACAGCACATCCAGAAAGTATTCCATTGGTTGGATGTCTCCGCTCTTCATACAGCACATCCAGAAAGTATTCCCATTGGTTGGATGTCTTTGCTCTTCATACAGCACATCCAGAAAGTATTCCCATTGGTTGGATATCTCCGCTCTTCATACAGCACATCCAGAAAGTATTCCCATTGGTTGGATTCCGCTCTTCATACAGCACATCCAGAAAGTATATTCCCATTGGTTGGATGTCTCCGCTCTTCATACAGCACATCCAGAAAGTATTCCCATTGGTTGGATGTCTCCGCTCTTCATACAGCACATCCAGAAAGTATTCCCATTGGTTGGATGTCTCCGCTCTTCATACAGCACATCCAGAAAGTATTCCCATTGGTTGGATGTCTCCGCTCTTCATACAGCACATCCAGAAAGTATTCCCATTGGTTGGATGTCTCTCCGCTCTTCATACAGCACACAGTTGGACATCGCTCTTCATACAGCACATCCAGAAGTATTCCCATTGGTTGGATGTCTTCGCTCTTCATACAGCACATCCAGAAAGTATTCCCATTGGTTGGATGTCTCCGCTCTTCATACAGCACATCCAGAAAGTATTCCCATTGGTTGGATGTCTCCGCTCTTCATACAGCACATCCAGAAAGTATTCCCATTGGTTGGATGTCTTCGCTCTTCATACAGCACATCCAGAAAGTATTCCCATTGGTTGGATGTCTCCGCTCTTCATACAGCACATCCAGAAAGTATCCCATTGGTTGGATGTCTCCGCTCTTCATACAGCACATCCAGAAAGTATTCCCATTGGTTGGATGTCTCCGCTCTTCATACAGCACATCCAGAAAGTATTCCCATTGGTTGGATGTCTCCGCTCTTCATACAGCACATCCAGAAAGTATTCCCATTGGTTGGATGTCTCCGCTCTTCATACAGCACATCCAGAAAGTATTCCCATTGGTTGGATGTCTCCGCTCTTCATACAGCACATCCAGAAAGTATTCCCATTGGTTGGATGTCTTCCGCTCTTCATACAGCACATCCAGAAAGTATTCCCATTGGTTGGATGTCTCCGCTCTTCATACAGCACATCCAGAAAGTATTCCCATTGGTTGGATGTCTCCGCTCTTCATACAGCACATCCAGAAAGTATTTCCATTGGTTGGATGTCTCCGCTCTTCATACAGCACATCCAGAAAGTATTCCCATTGGTTGGATGTCTCCGCTCTTCATACAGCACATCCAGAAAGTATTCCCATTGGTTGGATGTCTTCGCTCTTCATACAGCACATCCAGAAAGTATTCCCATTGGTTGGATGTCTTCGCTCTTCATACAGCACATCCAGAAAGTATTCCCATTGGTTGGATGTCTTCGCTCTTCATACAGCACATCCAGAAAGTATTCCCATTGGTTGGATGTCTCCGCTCTTCATACAGCACATCCAGAAAGTATTCCCATTGGTTGGATGTCTCCGCTCTTCATACAGCACATCCAGAAAGTATTCCCATTGGTGGGATGTCTCCGCTCTTCATACAGCACATCCAGAAAGTATTCCCATTGGTTGGATGTCTCCGCTCTTCATACAGCACATCCAGAAAGTATTCCCATTGGTTGGATGTCTTCGCTCTTCATACAGCACATCCAGAAAGGATTCCCATTGGTTGGATGTCTTCGCTCTTCATACAGCACATCCAGAAAGTATTCCCATTGGTTGGATGTCTCCGCTCTTCATACAGCACATCCAGAATGTATTCCCATTGGTGGGATGTCTTCGCTCTTCATACAGCACATCCAGAAAGTATTCCCATTGGTTGGATGTCTTCCGCTCTTCATACAGCACATCCAGAAAGTATTCCCATTGGTTGGATGTCTTCGCTCTTCATACAGCACATCCAGAAAGGATTCCCATTGGTTGGATGTCTTCGCTCTTCATACAGCACATCCAGAAAGTATTCCCATTGGTTGGATGTCTCCGCTCTTCATACAGCACATCCAGAATGTATTCCCATTGGTGGGATGTCTCCGCTCTTCATACAGCACATCCAGAAAGTATTCCCATTGGTTGGATGTCTCCGCTCTTCATACAGCACATCCAGAAAGTATTCCCATTGGTTGGATGTCTTCCGCTCTCTTCATACAGCACATCCAGAAAGTATTCCCATTGGTTGGATGTCTCCGCTCTTCATACAGCACATCCAGAAAGTATTCCCATTGGTTGGATGTCTTCGCTCTTCATACAGCACATCCAGAAAGTATTCCCATTGGTTGGATGTCTTCGCTCTTCATACAGCACATCCAGAAAGTATTCCCATTGGTTGGATGTCTTCGCTCTTCATACAGCACATCCAGAAAGTATTCCCATTGGTTGGATGTCTTCGCTCTTCATACAGCACATCCAGAAAGTATTCCCATTGGTGGGATGTCTCCGCTCTTCATACAGCACATCCAGAAAGTATTCCCATTGGTTGGATGTCTCCGCTCTTCATACAGCACATCCAGAAAGTATTCCCATTGGTTGGATGTCTTCGCTCTTCATACAGCACATCCAGAAAGTATTCCCATTGGTTGGATGTCTTCGCTCTTCATACAGCACATCCAGAAAGTATTCCCATTGGTTGGATGTCTTCGCTCTTCATACAGCACATCCAGAAAGTATTCCCATTGGTTGGATGTCTTCGCTCTTCATACAGCACATCCAGAAAGTATTCCCATTGGTTGGATGTCTTCGCTCTTCATACAGCACATCCAGAAAGTATTCCCATTGGTTGGATGTCTCCGCTCTTCATACAGCACATCCAGAATGTATTCCCATTGGTTGGATGTCTTCGCTCTTCATACAGCACATCCAGAAAGTATTCCCATTGGTTGGATGTCTTCGCTCTTCATACAGCACATCCAGAAAGTATTCCCATTGGTTGGATGTCTTCGCTCTTCATACAGCACATCCAGAAAGTATTCCCATTGGTTGGATGTCTCGCTCTTCATACAGCACATCCAGAAAGTATTCCCATTGGTGGATGTCTCCGCTTTTCATACAGCACATCCAGAAAGTATTCCCATTGGTTGGATGTCTTCGCTCTTCATACAGCACATCCAGAAAGTATTCCCATTGGTTGGATGTCTTCCGCTCTTCATACAGCACATCCAGAAAGTATTCCCATTGGTTGGATGTCTTCGCTCTTCATACAGCACATCCAGAAAGTATTCCCATTGGTTGGATGTCTCCGCTCTTCATACAGCACATCCAGAAAGTATTCCCATTGGTTGGATGTCTCGCTCTTCATACAGCACATCCAGAAAGTATTCCCATTGGTTGGATGTCTTCGCTCTTCATACAGCACATCCAGAAAGTATTCCCATTGGTTGGATGTCTCCGCTCTTCATACAGCACATCCAGAAAGTATTCCCATTGGTTGGATGTCTCCGCTCTTCATACAGCACATCCAGAAAGTATTCCCATTGGTTGATGTCTTCGCTCTTCATACAGCACATCCAGAAAGTATTATTGGTTGGAGTGCGCTCTTCATACAGCACATTATGAAAGTATTACACATTTGTTATGTTCCGGCCTTATTCCAGAATCCAGATTAAATTCATTTTTTCCTCCACATTCTACAAACAATCCCCCATAATGACAACAGGAAAGAAGTTTGTTTTGAAAGCTTTGTAACTTATTAAGAATAACGAACTCCCCCCCCCATGTACATAAGTATTCCCAGCCCCCCCCCCCCCCATGTACATAAGTAAATTCCCCAGCCCCCCCCATGTACATAAGTATTCCCAGCCCCCCCCCCCCATGTACATAAGTATTCCCAGCCCCCCCCATGTACATAAATATTCCCCAGCCCCCCCCATGTACATAAGTATTCCCAGCCCCCCCCATGTACATAAGTATTCCCAGCCCCCCCCATGTACATAAGTATTCCCAGCCCCCCCCCCCCCCCATGTACATAAGTATTCCCAGCCCCCCCCATGTACATAAGTATTCCCCCAGCCCCCCCCATGTACATAAGTATTCCCAGCCCCCCCCATGTACATAATATTCCCAGCCCCCCCCATGTACATAAGTATATTCCCAGCCCCCCCCATGTACATAAGTATTCCCAGCCCCCCCCATGTACATAAGTATTCCCAGCCCCCCCCATGTACATATGTATTCCCAGCCCCCCCCATGTACATAGCTCTGGTATCCGGTTCCCACTGCCCCCCCCTTGAGATGTTTCCACAACGTTCGGAGTCCCACCTGTGGGACATTCAGTGGATAAGTAGTCCACCTGTGGGACATTCAACGGATTGGAGTCCCCCATTCAACGGATTTTAGTCCACCAGTGGGACATTCAGCGGATGGGAGTCCACCTGTGGGACCAGCCCCCCCATGACATTCAACGGATTTTAGTCCACCATGTGGGACATTTGGAGTCCAGCCTGGATTGTTCCAGCTGTGACACTCGGAGTCCATTGAGTCTGGATTGCAGTCCACCTGTGGGTTCCCATTGGACCATCCTTGGGACGATGATTGGAGTCCACTGTGACATCGGATTTTAGTCCACCTGTGGGACATTCAACGGATTTTAGTCCACCTGTGGGACATTCAACGGATTTTAGTCCACCTGTGGGACATTCAGCGGATGGGAGTCCACCTGTGGGACATTCAGTGGATTGGGTTCCAGCTGTGGGATGTTCAGCGGATCGGAGTCCACCTGTGGGACGTTTAGCAGATTGGAGTCCACCTGTGGGACGTTCAGTGGATTGGAGTCCTCCTGTGGGACGTTCAGTGGATTGGAGTCCATCTGTGGGACATTCAGTTGATTGGAGTCCACCTGTGGGACATTCAGTTGATTGGAGTCCACCTGTGGGGACATTCAGTTGATTGGAGTCCACCTGTGGGGACATTCAGTTGATTGGAGTCCACACTGTGGGGACATTCAGTTGATTGGAGTCCACCTGTGGGACATTCAGTTGATTGGAGTCCACCTGTGGGGACATTCAGTTGATTGGAGTCCACCTGTGGGGACATTCAGTTGATCAGTTGATTGGAGTCCACCTGTGGGGACATTCAGTTGATTGGAGTCCACCTGTGGGGACATTCAGTTGATTGGAGTCCACCTGTGGGGACATTCAGTTGATTGGAGTCCACCTGTGGGGACATTCAGTTGACATTCAGTTGATTGGAGTCCACCTGTGGGGACATTCAGTGGATTGGAGTCCACCTGTGGGACATTCAGTTGATTGGACATAATCAGGAAAGGCCTACACCTGTCTATAGAAGGTCCCACAGGTCACATGTCAGAGCACAAACCAAGCCATGAGGTCCAAGGAATTGTCCGTAGATCTCCGAGACAGGATTGTATGAAGGCACAGATCGGGGGAAGGGTACAGAAACATTTCTGCAGCATTGAAGGTCCCAATGAGCACAGTGGGCTCCATCAGCTGTAAATGAAAGAAGTTTGGAACCACCAGGAATCTTTCTAGAGAGGGCAAAAATGAGAAAGGCCTTAGCCAGGGAGGTGACCAAGCACCCGATGGTCACTCTGAAAGAGCTCCAGCATTTCTCTGTGGAGAGAGGAGAACCTTCCAGAAGAACAACCATCTCTGCAGCACTCCACCAGTCAGGCCTGTATGTAGAGTGGCCAGACGGAAGTCACTCCTCAGTAAAAGGCAAATGGCAGCCACCTGGAGTTTGCCAAAAGGCACCTGAGGGACCTGGATAAATGTCTCGATATTTAGGATTTATCCGGTCCATAAACCAGAGGCTCTGGATGTACAGTTGGATAAATGGCTCTATATTTAGGACGTATCCGGTCCTATAAACCAGAGGCTCTGGGTGTACAGTTGGATAAATGGCTCTATATTTAGGACGTATCCGGTTTATAAACCAGAGGCACTGGATGGACAGTTGGATAAATGGCTCTATATTTAGGATGTATCCGGTTATAAACCAGAGGCACTGGTGTACAGTTGGATAAATGGCTCTATATTTAGGACGTATCCGGTCTATAAACCAGAGGCTCTGGGTGTACGGTTGGATAAATGGCTCTATATTTAGGATGTATCCGGTCTATAAACCAGAGGCTCTGGGTGTACGGTTGGATAAATGGCTCTATATTTAGGACGTATCCGGTCTATAAACCAGAGGCTCTGGGTGTACGGTTGGATAAATGGCTCTATATTTAGGACGTATCCGGTCCATAAACCAGAGGCTCTGGATGGACGGTTGGATAACTGGCTCTATATTTAGGACGTATCCGGTCTATAAACCAGAGGCTCTGGATGGTCAGTTGGATAAATGGCTCTATATTTAGGACGTATCCGGTCTATAAACCAGAGGCACTGGATGGACAGTTGGATAAATGGCTCTATATATAGGACGTATCCGGTCTATAAACCAGAGGCTCTGGGTGTACAGTTGGATAAATGGCTCTATATATAGGACGTATCCGGTCTATAAACCAGAGGCTCTGGGTGTACAGTTGGATAAATGGCTCTATATTTAGGATGTATCCGGTCTATAAACCAGAGGCTCTGGGTGTACAGTTGGATAACTGGCTCTATATTTAGGATGTATCCGGTCTATAAACCAGAGGCTCTGGGTGTACAGTTGGATAAATGGCTCTATATTTAGGACGTATCCGGTCTATAAACCAGAGGATGTATGTGATCCATTAGTGGTTCCTTTTATGAGAATTTGTCCACATCCCACCCAATCACAGACTCAATCATAATGAGGTCATTGTGTCCTGAGCTGATGTCATAGGGAGGTAAAAGGATGCAACACCCCCCCCCCATCCCGTATTGCATCCCCCATACATATACTACATGGAGCTCTCCTCATGATTTCCTCCATGGTAGAATTACCCACCATTACCTCTGTAGTCTCCACCTGGTTGGTGTCTGGTGTTGGAGCTTAATGATGATAGAACCGACCACCAGGGCGGCACACCGAACCCTCTACATGTATTAAAACCTTGTGGGTCCATCTACTCACCAAAATGGGACCAGTGATTGTGTGAGGGCTCATTTGGTCTCGGGGGATGATGCACCTTCATCCACATGGAAGTGGTCTTGTTTGGAGCACAGATGACCCCCCCCCCCCCGTCACATTGAGCAGATTAGGTTGTCTGACAGCAACTCTGTAATGAATTTCAGATCATCGCCCATTGTGCCGATCCACGGGAGATCCTGAATGGGGGGAACTGGTCTGCTTAGGCCGATATTCTGCCCTTCGTTGTGTTGTGGGGGCTCTATAGCTTCTTTGTAGGCCTTTTGTGTCTTCTCCTGTGAGAACCTTGGAATAGAAATGACTGAGCCGAGTGCCACCCCCCACCGTATACATCAGTCTAGAGGCCCTATATCCGTATACAGCCGCCGGTGACTCCTCTGTTATAGACAAATGACAGGAGTCGATGTGATCCATCAGACCTAGGCGATAGGAGATCAGTCATGGTGCCGGAACGTGAGTCCCAGAGGTCCCTGCCTTCTCCTCTTCTAGGTCAGATGACGCTCCTGTATATAAGATTCTCACCTGTTCCTTGTATATGGTGAAGTGAATGTCTCTTAGGTCTGCCTGTATATACATCGATCAGCCTTATGACCCCCCACCTAATCCTGAGTAGGTCCCCCCCTTTCCTAAACCATCGAGGCATGGACTCCTCTAGACCTTTGAAGGTACACTGTGGTATAGGCACCAAGCCATCAGGAGCAGATCCTCTAGGTCCTATAAGTTGGGAGGCGGGGCCTCCATGGATCAGACCTGTTTTTCCAGCACATTGCACAGATGCCCGATCGGACTGAGATCTGGAGAATTTGCAGGCCAAGTCAACACCCTGAACTCGTTGTTGTGTTCTGCAAACCCTTCTTGAACCATGTGTGGCAGAGTGCATAACCTCGCTGAAGGAGGCCACCGCCATCAGGGAATACTGTTTCCACAAAGGGGTGTATGCAGGGCCGGGACAAGGGGTGGGTGGGAGGGGTGGCTGCCCTGGGCACAATGGTTTACTATAGGGATGGGGGCACTTTTGTTCTGTTCAAGGCTGACAGGAGTAGTGACAGCGGCATGACTACTCCTGTCAGGCCAGCGCTGAGACTGGCGAGGAAAGAGCCTGGGAGGAGGAGCAGGATGTGTTCTTGCCCCCCCCCCTTCCTGCCTCTTGCGGTGGGTCTGCGTTGAAAGATTTGATTTTGCCCCCACATTTAGCACCACATTGCATGCCGTTTCACACAACAAATAGCTCTGCATAATGTCAGGATGCCAACACTTGGGGTCCTCAGAGCGCCCCCTATCCTCAGGGTGACTCAGGGACAGTCTGCACATCATGTATGAGGGATCACATGCAAGGTTTGTATGTTTGGTATTGTATGTACACCGTGGTGTGTGGCGTGCACTCCACAAATCTGGCCTTTAGGTTATAGAGCAATGTCCGAGCTTTGCCCATCTCACGGAGCTCTGTGTTCAATCCATCATCCGAACATGGGAGGAGTACGGCACAACTGCCAACCTACCAAGACATGGCTGTCCACCTAAACTGACCGGCCGGGCAAGGAGGACATTCATCAGAGAAGCAGCCAAGAGGCCCATCATGGGAACTCCGGAGGAGCTGCAGAGATCCACAGCTCAGGGGGGGAATCTGTCCTCAGGACAACTATTAGTCGTCACTCCACAAATCTGTCCTTTATGGAAGAGTGACAAGAAGAAGCCATTGTTGGAGGAAAGCCATAAGAAGTCCCGTCTGCAGTTGGTGAGAAGCCATGTGGGGGGCACAGCAAACGTGGAAGAAGGGGCTCTGGTCAGAGGAGACCAACATGGGACCAAAACGCTATGTTTGGCAGAAAACTAACACTGCCCATCCCCCTGAACACACCATCCCCACCGTGAAACATGGTGGTGGCAGCTTCATGTGGTGGGGATGCTTTTCTTCAGCAGGGACAGGGAAGCTGGTCAGAGTTGATGGGAAGATGGATGGAGCCAAATACAGGGCAATCTTAGAAGAAAACCTGTTAGAGTCTGCAGAAGACTTGAGACCGGGGCGGAGGTTCCCCTTCCAGCAGGACAACGACCCGAAACATCCAGCCAGACCTACAATGGAATGGTTCCGATCAAAGCATCTTCATGGGTTAGAATGGCCCAATCACAGTCCAGACCCAAATCCAATGGAGAATCTGTGGCCAGACCTGAAAATTGCTGTTCCCAGACGCCCTCCATCCAATCTGACAGCTTGAGGGATTCTGCAAAGAAGAACGGGCAGAAATGTCCCTCTCTAGATGTGCAAAGAGACATCCCCAAAAAGACTTGCAGCTGGAATGGCAGCCAAAGGGGGTCCTACAAAGTACTGACTCCGGGGGGCCGAATACAAATGTCCCCCACACTTCTCACAGATTTATTGGTCACAAATGTTGGAATCATTTCTCATCGTCCTTCCACTTCACACTTATGTGCCACTTTGTGTCGGTCCATCACATCCAATCCCAGGAAAATACATTGTAACAACATGGGGGGGGGATACATTGTCACATGACAACATGGGGGGGTGTACATTGTAACATGACAACATGGGGGGGGGGGGGGAGGGGGATACATTGTAACATGACAACATGGGGGACATTTCGGGGGGGGGGGGAATACATTGTACCATGACAACATGGGGGGGGGAGGGGGATACATTGTAACATGACAACATGGGGGACATTTCGGGGGGGGGGGGGGGAAATACATTGTACCATGACAAACATTTCGGGGGGGGGGGGGAATACATTTTACCATGACAACATGGGGGACATTTCAGGGGGGGGAATACATTGTAACAAGACAACATGGGGGGGAGGGGGATACATTGTAACAAGACAACATGGGGGGCATTTCAGGGGGGAGGGGACTTCTTCAAGGCATTAACAAGAAACATTAACAGCAAAAAACAAAAAGCAGACAATCTTAAAGATCAGTTCCATAGATCTGGTACAACGGCTCCATCTACTGGCCAATCAGCATGCAGACAGCAGGGAGGATTCCCCCAATGGTGACAGGAAACATGCAAAACACTGGAAATGTAAAGGAGAACTCCGTGTGATGTCTGCGTACCGACCGCGTGCGATGTCTGCGTACCGACCGCGTGCGATGTCTGCGTACCGACCGCGTGCGATGTCTGCGTACCGACCGCGTGAGATGTCTGCGTACCGACCGCGTGAGATGTCTGCGTACCGCCCGCGTGCGATGTCTGCGTACCGCCCGCGTGCGATGTCT